CGTCAGGGAGTTAGCTTTCACCTGATCTCTGGGAGTTTCTCTAGCTGTCCCCCATGGCTGCAATAATCTCTGTCTTCATCTTCTTTTCCTGGCTTCCTTTACATCCTAACTAAAATCCCTTCTTGTAGAAGTCTTATCTAATTTCCTTTAATGCTAAGTGCCTTCCCTTTACTGATTCTCTCCAGTATCTTCTCAAATCTTTTTTTTGTTGTTGTTGTTGGGGGGGGGGAAACTTGGTTATTATAGTTTCACAGCATTCAGTCTGATTGTTTTGTTGTTCTTTCCACTTACATTGCTGTAGCTGTGTAAATTGTTATCTTGATTCCAGTTACTTCGCTTTGCATCAGTTCATTTAAGTCTTCCTGGCCATCTCTGTATTCTTAATGCTTTTTTTTTTCCAGTACAATAATATTCCATTATGTTCATATAGCATAATTTGTTTAGTCATTCTGCAATTGCAAAGGCATTTCTTTTAGGCAAAACAGGTTTGTCTGAGCTAGGTGTGCCAGCCAGAACTGTCTGTCAGCATACCTTTATTACTTGGGGGGGGGGGGGGGGGGGAGGGAGGAGAGGACGGAGTACACAATAGTGCTGAAGGTATTTCTAAGGGTTAAATAAGTTTCAGGTCTCTAATTTGCCTCCTTTCTGTTTGTAGTCCTAATTAGGTCAGCCAGTCACTTCAAGTCTAGCTGTCAGAGATTCGTATAAATTCCCCTGCTCTGACCTTGGGACCATTCTGAACTGGACTAGAACCCATTTTCCACATGCCAGATTTTTCTCCTCTAACCTCCAACCCTTAGCCAAAGCAAACTGTACTAGCATCATGCTGTAGGAAATCCAACTCACATTTATATAATACTTTCAGGTTAACAAAAGCACTTTCTCCAAAACAGCCACTAGCCCTTATCTAGTATCAACACCTCACATTGATAAGTGCTCTACAACCTTGTGGCATAGGTCATACAAATATCATTCTTTCCAATTTCATAGATGAGGAAACAGATTCAGACATAAAGTGAGGGTCCCAAGTTCTTTATACCCTAGAGTTTTTGTAAAAGTCCCATACATGTGAATAAAAAGTAAATTCTCTAATAAAAAATAGAAAGTATTATAGCTAGGATAATAATGATAATAATAGTAGCTAATGTGCATGTATATGTATAGTCAAAGTTTGCAAAACACTTTACATATTTGATCCTCACATCAACCTTGTGATATGGGTGCTATTATTATCCCCGTTTTTACAGATGAGGAAACTGAGAAAAGTTAAGTGATTTGCCCCGTCACATAGCTAGAGGCAGAATTCAAACTCAGGTCTTTCTGCCTCCCAGTCCCTCTCTACTGTACCATCTAGCTGCCAGGATTCAGACCTAAGTCTTTCCTGAGTGGAAGCCCAGCAGCATTCTTTCCAATAGCTAGTCTCTCACATGTATGGATCAGTCTTCCCTCAGCAGGCCAGTGCTGAAGTCACCACCTCGAGGCATGGTTATTGCTAATAGTGCAAGTGTTCCTTAAGTTCCTTGGCAATATATGTTGTCTCTAGCCTCATCAGGCACCCCTTCACAGCTCCTATGCTCATCTACCTAAAGCTACAGCAGGTCACTCACTGCTGAAGCTTCCTCCCTCCTTAATCAAGTTAAACCAAGGTCTTTGGCACTGACCTTCCCCAGGGTTCTTCTCACCAAATCTCCACTTGATCTGCTGACTTCTGGGTCCAATCCAAGCGTCTCTGCTCCTTCCCGCATTTTAAGCTGGGCCTCCTAGAAACATTAAGCAGGAAAAGGGGAAGTAAGAGTGGGCCATAGAGAAAAGAAGGAGTCGAGGGTGGAAACAAATATGTGGGCAGGAGACACAAGATACTAAGGGTCAAACTATTCAGGGAAAAGAATGTTAAAAGTCACAGGCTTTAGAGATGCTCTACTCCAGAGGTATCCCAGCCTGTAGAAACCATGTAGTCCAATCCCCCAAGTGTGGCCCTAATCAGGTATTTAACAAAACAAATAAAAAGACAATGAAACATAGATAACACAATATTTTAGAACTAAGTCAATATGCAGGTTGCAGGGATTCTGATGTTGCAGATTAGTGGGCCTCAGTTTCTGTTTGAGTTTGACACCACTGATCTAGTCCATCCCCTTCTTTTTACAGATAAAGAAACTGAGGCCTCTACAGAGGGGCAAAGCCACTTCCTCAAGACTGCTCATAGGGGCACCCTCTCCATCCCTGGCTCGGTTTGGTGAAACTAGTTTAGAATCTTTTTATCAGAAAAATATTGCTTCTAGTTGATCTTTAGGGAACTAATTATCTTAAATTTGGACTAAATCCTGAGGTATTTTTAAGTCTTTAGGTTGTTGTTTGTCCTTCGTTCTCAAAAAGGACCAATCACATCACAAATATGATGGCTTGACTTGCCCGTGAATTGGATTTAAGTGAAGTAGAGCTGTGCAAAGTCATCAGCCTCACTCTTTCCTCCAGAGACATCTCAGTCCAGTAGCAAAACAAAAGTCAAGACCACTAGAAATGGCCCAGGAGGCAGTGGGTGACCTTGGTTTTTTTAAACTAAGATCTTTCCCAGGTCTCAGTTTATCTAAGGCAACACCCATTCAGTGATTAGGGGCTAGGTTAGAATTGAGACCAAAGGTGCCCCAGTTTGCAATCACAAAAGACTTGATCTGGGAGGGGAAGATCCTTAAAGCTCCTGGCCAGAACAGAAAACAATTGCTATTTAAACTCACTTTGAGCTGTCATAACCCAAGCAATGAGCAAGAGAGGCATGGACTGGGACCTATTATTGGCTAATGGATGAAAACCAGAATGATGAAAACCAGTAGCTCTATTTCCATCACACTGAGTTTTTTCAAAGCCTGTTTTTACAGAGCTATATTTCAAGAAATCATGAATGAAAACTGCACAAGACAAAGAGTTAATTGACCCAGTTTTTTTGAAAAAAAAATAATAATGATGAAATAAATAAATAGGAAATTCAAAAAATCTAACCCCCAAACCCCAACTTAGAAAATATTAGTGACCAAAAATTATATTCCTTTGGACAGAGCACCCACATGTAAAGGTATAGCTCCCCATGTAGACAAAGGGACCACATGTAATGAAGGAGGAAGAAAAAGAAGAGGAGGAGAAAGAGAAGGAGGAGGAGGAGAAGAAGAAGAAGAAGAAGAAGAAGAAGAAGAAGAAGAAGAAGAAG